AGTTCTGACTAGATTATTAGTTCAGTCAACCAAGCGATCCTCAATTCATTTAATCTAGGGAAAGCGAAGCAAACAAATAAATTATACTTAGATAAGATACATGGAAGGAGTGGGAAACTAACTGTATTAAATCTTATAAAATATAAACTATGAAAGGTGAAATCAATAGAGGCAAGAAAAGCTAGCTACAAGAATATACAAGTATACTAGAAGAAAATTAAAAATACTATAGGGCACAAACACAAAAGAAGAAATCACCTTTTCATTGAAGAGAGATAAGGTATCAACCTCTGACTTATTTCCTTCTTCCTTAAGAGCAATCTGAGGTTGATCTCCAATTATAGAATTGGAGATTAAACTATTATTAAATTGTTTCTGGTACCAAAGTTTGTGAATGTATTGAGTGTAAGGACTGCCGTATTGTTATTAATATAATAGAGCGATGCACATATTATTCTCTTCGCTAAATTTTTAGTGAGATTGAGCCATAATCAAAAGAAGATGGTTCAATATTTGATTAAGTTTGGGTCTGTTTGGTTCAATATTTGATTAAGTTTGGGTCTGTTTTTGATAACACCAATTAACTTTTCATCCCAAATCAGGGTCATTGGAAAATTTACATTACATGGACTATATAATTTGCTACTTATATGTATAAACTTTTTTCTAGTGTAGATTAATCTTGTTTTTCTTTCAACAACCCCGACTAAGAACTTACACTTACAAAGAGAAATATTTGAAAACGTGGCACAGATGAAAAAGACTGACCTTATCGCTGAAAAAGGGTGCATCAGACTCATTGGAGACTCCCTTTCCGTTCCTTTTCAAATTTTTCCGGGCCTAGCTTTCCGTAAAATGTGGATGCAAATGCAAACATCTTTGGACAGTCAACTAAAACAATTTCTTTCAAAGATGGAATTTCCGGTGTATAATTCCAGAAAAAGAACTTGCCACCTTTGAACAGGACTCAACAGTTATAAGCTGGAGACAAGGGAACATAATTGTAAACGTGGCAGCCTCCTGTTACATCCATAGACTTCCAAATTCTTAAGAATTTTTAAGTCTAAAACTTCCTCGAAGTTTCTCATTCCCATATCTCCATTTGGCTTAGAAAACTTGGAAGTACAACAATACTCCATTCCTTTGAATCCAACCTATAAAATCCCAACTTTATTAACTACTTATCGGTAAGGACAAATAAAATATCTACTGGCCAAAAAGAATAAAAACAAGTAAACTAAAAATACGGAGCAATTGCCAATTGCTTTCAAAATTAGCAATTAAGAAACCAGAAACTATTAATTGCTAAGATCCTTAGAAAAACAATAAGATTAGAGGATAATAGTTTTTGGAGATAAACTTATAACTTCATAAGTGGCCTTTTGTGTAAAGCTGCTGGATGGTGCTGTTGAGGTCACTAGGCCAAGATTTTTATCCTCTTTGTTTTTTACTTTGGACTCTTTCTTATCAGTGGGACATTTAAGAAACTCCATGACAAAAAATCTTCAATTCAGGACATTGGCTGACAATTACTTGTTCCAAAGATGGGAACTCGAATGTGTGATTGGTAGTCGATAACTCTCAATTAAAAAAATTTTTTCATTTAATGTGAAGGATTTATGCTATGAAAAGGAATAAAACTATAATTTTATTTAATGAATAGTAATTCAATTCAATTCAAACTTTTATTTTTATTTTTGCTAAACAAGTAAGTATATATAATTATGTTTGAATATATATCTTGTATGATTTTATTTTTCATACACAAATACAATATAAAATAGTTGTGATTTTTGTATAATAATTAAAATTGAAAATCTCATTAGCATGTCTCTCCTAATTCTTAATTACAAAAAAAAGGCTAATGATGCATTTTATGCAATAAGAGAAATTGTAAAAGACTTAAAAATTCTACCTTTATCTTTTATGCCTTTTGTTTTACCTCAAATATAAAATTTTTTTAATTTTCCTTCTAAAAAAAATTCTTTCTTCTAATAGGATATCAAAATTGTTAAATACTTGACCATTGGCTTAAAATGATTATTACAAGACAACTTTGGATGGGCAATTGCGAATCTACCTGTTGTAAATCCATTTCTCATGTCAAATGAGGTAGATATGAAAACTGAAGTATTTACAAAGATACAAGAACTTAGACTCCATTTAGATTCAAATGGGTCTCCGTGCAGCGTAGTTGCAACCACTTTTTAGCGTTAATGGTGTTAGCTATCCATTTGATTGCTAGTGATGTGGCAACGTGGAAGCATAGATTTCTTCTAGAACGTCTTCCTATAAATTTAGATATTTCGATGCTAATTGTTCTTGACATGAGCAAAACTAACCTAAAACAAGTTTGAAAATAGTAATTTTTATTTTGTTTTAATGAAGCAACATCATATTTATAAAAACTAAGTGTTTCATTTTTTTGTAAGAAAAACTAATAATTGTTTCTAATTTCTTTTTAATTCTCATTTCTTCTTAATGTAAAATCATTAATCTCATCATTCATATACCACCTCATAAATTCTAAACTTTTTAATGACTCCTTAGCATTTGAAAAATTATGCTTAGACGACTACAAAAATTAAGCTAAGTAAGGTACTGAATTTTTTTTAAACCTTTAAAAATTGCAAAAATCTAAAAAGAACTTCCCAGTATCATTGATTCTTTGGGCTTTCGAAAGAGCTTATTTTATCTAGTTGCTCAAGGCTTGATGATTGCCATTGGTATATTTCAAATCTTGCAAGGTGGATTATATTCATTGCTTAAATTCCAGGTAAAAAAATGAAAAATTTGATCAAAAAATGCAAAAACCATCAGATGGATACAAACTAGAAATAACTTTGGACATAACTATCAGATGGATACAAACTAGAAATTATTTCACTTGATATTAAAATATCTAAACTATGAGCTTATACAGTATAAGATGGGCGAATGCTCTTTTAATACCCTAAGAATAATAAAAAAATCAATATAATATAATAATAATTATTTTTTATAAAATACATAAATAAAAATAGCTCTCTCTTTATTTTTTCTTGTAAAACATTATCTCACTTATAAATTTAAATAGAAGGATTTCACTGTTAAATACTTTTTATGATTAAAATCTTAAAAATTAATTAGAAATCACTTTAATGAAAATCTCATGTTACAAGTCACAATAATTAGAAAGAAAATATTTTAATTTTAGAATAAAACTATTGATATGGTATAGTTTTTTACATCTCATTGATTTTTTTTTAAAAATCAATAAAATTTTTAACGTTAAAAGATGAATTTTAATAAAAGAAGCTTTTATAGCTCAATAAGTTTGAGTACGCGTTTAATACGTAGGATTTCTAGAATTTGACTCATTGATTTTGATCGCTACTATTTTTCTTAATTCATAAAAAATCGTTTTCTTTAAAACATTTACAATCTCAATCTTAATCTCCTACAACAAAACAGGCATGTAAAAATTTTTTATTTTTTTGTTCAAACGTTAGCGTGCACTCTCTCTGTTTTTGTTCTTCTTCTTCATGCGAATCCCATATCCATTCCAAGAAAATGTTTCTTGCCCACCAAACTTCCCCTCCACAAATTCCATCCCAAAACTTCTAAGTTAAGGTGTATGCCCAAGAAATTCGCTGTTTCTGCTACCCTTAACACCATAGCTGCTGCTGCTGCCTCTGGCTCTGGCTCTGGTGCCACTGTCCATGGGACTGTCTCTTCTGCTATTACCCAAGTGGTTGTTGTTGCCTTTGCTATTGCCTCTGGAGCTTGTTTCTCCACCAAGGTTGATTTTTTATGGCTCTGAGTGGAGGAGCAACAAGGTGCCTTTCTGTTACTTGTTTTTGTTTTTTTTT